GTTGTAAATACGATGGCGTTCTTCTTCAATAAGGGAGTTTGATGTCACGGCAGGCTTGTTTCCAGGCGGAACGACACACACGTCTCCCGGACATCCTGTAGAATTCAACCAATCAGACTTTGAAAATCCTGAAGTGTTTCCAGTTGTGTGCCATATGCATCAGATGTTCAGCCAGCGGTCCGTGGGCGTGATGTCTGAGGCTGAGACTACACTTTACCAGGTGAGCTACCAAGCAAGTTTACTACATTAGGAAGGCCATACATATGGAGCTGGTTATGTGATGCGAACGTCCAAAAGTGTTAATTCAAAAATCATGCAGTATGGTGCAAGTGTTTTGAGGTCCTGACATAGTATTGTGCAAGGACCCACATGAAAATAAATGTTTATTTATCAATATTTTACTTCATTAATCATAATTTGTGTGAAAATGAATAAAAGTGGTCAGTGGCTAGTGGCTAGTGGCTAGTGTTCACTTTAGCAGGCAACTACATACTTAAATGTATGCATAGTTAACTTTTTTCAGTTTTTCAGAAAGGTAGGCAGAGTCCTATTTTTCCAATGAGCATGGATTGAGCTTTTTCCACTATAAAGAACCTTTTGTGCATTGAAAAAGTTCCATGGATGTTCTAACAGTGTACATTTTTATTGGTAGCTTCCAAGCATTATGCATGGAAATATGTAGAACTCTGCGACAGGCAATTCTCCTTACATTTGCTTTTGTGCAGGCCTAAGTCATATAAATAACAAGAAAGATATCAATTTAGTTTTCATCACCATACAACAGTAACTCAATGGAACGGGAGGCATCTTAAACTAGGACAGGGCGTTTGTATATTTGGTCTTCAGCTCTGCAAAGTCTTTGTTCCTATAGGTCATATCGCTGCTTCAGACAGATCTTCAGAACCCACAGCTGCTGAATAGCCACAGCGTAACCAAACATCCCTGCATCTCTGTTTTATAAAGAAATCCTCTCCTTACCCTCTCATTCCCACGGTAAGCCAGCTGGAGCAGATTTTCCCTGGTTGCCGTCTTGTCTGCCTCATGGGCTCGTCCTGCTCACGGGACGCAGTATGATTGGGCAGTGGTCAGGGGAACAGAGATTAGTAACTGGATACATAGAACAGGGGACTGCTGGGAAGACTCCCTGTCATCCGATGTAAACCTAAGACTCTGCGGTGGCGATCCATGGTCAAGACGTGAGCCGCAACCTCTGCTGACAACCCGTTTGTTGGGACCGCGCATCGTTCAGACCCCTCATTTGCCTGCCACTCTCTCTGTGTGCGACCCGTTTGGATCCTAGTCGTTTTGGCCTGACAAAATAAGGGGCTACTTTACCACCATAGAGAGATATGTCTCTTCTCATGGCAGAGAGAGGACAGGCCCAGTGGGACCTGCCATTACGAAAGCCTAAAAGAGACCTTAAATGGCACATCATATCTGAACTTCGACACCAGCTCATGTGGGGACGTGGTAAGAGCTACTTGGCAGCTCATTGGTGTGGCCGGTCATAATTAGAGTGTGAAAAAAAAGGAACCTCGAGGGGAAACTGGTGCCATGAATGAGGCTCTGGGAATCTCGACTTCTTAAGCCGTCGGGGATGTTCTGGGACCGGGATGTTTGCGGGCAGAAGATGTCTCCCAGATGTCCGGCTCCATTGTAACCATATTCATCCTTGCCTCTTTGAAGGGACACTCACTTCATGTTGCCTAAACATGAAGGATGAACAAGACAACATGGGATGAATGAACTGTGAAACAATTGTTTGTTTACAATATCTCTAGGTCAGACTGTTTTTAGCTTGTGGGTCTCCACATGAGTGGCTCATTCAGAAGGAAACGTCTATGCTGTGACTGGCCATGTGTAAATGTTCTTTGAAGAGTTTTTAAGTGCTTCCCCTCCCCAACATGAAACATTGTTGGAGCTACAAAAGACCCACCTGCCTCACAAAAGACAAGACGGGACGAGGCAAGATGAGAGAGGTCAAGAGAGGTCAGACAAGATTTCGTGCGCTCTGCACTCAGACTAAAGAGGAGGAAGGGCAGGTGCAGTGAAGAAGATGGAGGTTTTACATATTAGTGAAGTGCTTGGGTCAAAGGCCAATTGCAAATCAGCCCTGTTGGGATTAATTTGCCAGTTTAAGTGGATTATAATCGAACAAAGAGATGCATTTAGACTTGATAAAAATGTGTTTGCTGATTCTTCAGACTATCTAATGTTGGGCCCTATGATTTCGCAATCCGGAAAAAGGGGAAGGAATCATGGAATTCAGTCATAAAAAATGACTGTACCCTTAGTCGAATCGTGATATGAACTAGTGTCTGTGAATATTCTTCATTGTTCTGTGTCTCTGTGTGAGTGAATGGCACGGTTTAGTTTTCTACACATACACAAGCACGCTTGAAGTTCGTGGTGTTTTCAGCGTCTGCCGTCCCACTATATGAGGACATGAGAGTCTCTTCACCAGCATTTCACATAAGAAAAAACATTCGTCATACACAGAAACTCGAAGGTCTTCACAACAAGTTTAACTTGAAGGGATTGTGACGGAAATATAGTACCATTGTAGAGTAAAATGTACCACTCAAAGTAATATAATATTAAAAATAATAATAATTAAAACTTTAAGAAATGATCACAATTTTTCTTCTTTGTTTTAATTTGAACAGTAAACCTTTTTTGCCAAATATATTACATTTTAAAATATTAATAAATTGTTTTATGCTGTCATTTGATTACTACCTTTTTATAATAGATTTGTATTAAATCAGAAGAGCGGAATTTTTTTTTTTTTAACTAAATAAAATAAAAAAGGCCCTATTATTGCAATAAAAAAATCTAATTCAATTGATTACACATGCTTTTTATTAATTAAAAAAATTAAAATAACTATTAAAATGGAATCCAGAATTTTTTTAATGGAAAGCACAGAATTTGGGCATGATTGAGAAACAATGTACTTTTAATAGATTGTTTTATAATGGTTATATAATTCTCTGCACAATCACATAACACAGACAAAAGATCGTCCCACCTAATTACATTGAAAAATAATAATTAGCAAAAGATGATTTTCTTGTTTGTTTTTATTTTTATTTTATTTTTTTACATCCTCCTGTGGATGGATTTACCAAAATTATGAACAGATATAGTGACAAAACATTTGAATAGACTCACAATTTCATAATGGACTGCAAAATATAAAGATTTTTTGCATCATTTCATAAAATGCCACTGAAATTACAAATACATTGAGCATTTAACAATGAACAAAACATACACGCGCATATATCCATAGAAATTTACGGAAATACCTGCACCAAAAAATGGGGGGGAAGGAAAAAAAAACAAAGGGAAAAAGGAGAAAACCCTGCTATGATATTCAATATTGTAGAAAAACAGAGGACAAAACATTTTGTCTCATTTAAAACACATATACAGAAGAGCTCAGTATTCTTACTTCAACACTGTAAACATCATTTAAAGACAGTGTCATAGTTCTTTTTTTTTTAAATCCAATTGATTTTTTTTTACCTCCACTGTCAATAATTCTCTAGTCCATCTAAATAAATCAGTAAAGAAATGTAATTTCTCAAACAAATCTGTGCTTTAAGACTTTCCCTCAAAAATGAAGCACACTTTACATTTCCCAAATAAACGGACAATCATCCTTTACAAGTTTATATGATTTGATTCCTCTTAATTCATTCAAATGACACTGGTTAGTGATCGTTTGTTCATGGATTGTTTTCCCCTCCCCCGCTGTATAGCAAGAGTCAGATCTACATCAGAAGATAAAGGCTGAATATTAATTTGAGGCACGTCCGTGTTGTCTGGTTATGTCTGTCTCCGAAAGCCATTGGTAGCACTTAAATTCAACATGCTTTCTTGACTACACATTTCCTCCTGATTTTCTTTCAAGTTATGGCCACTTCCTGTCATTTACGCAAAGAGAGGTTTGCAAAGTATCTGAAGAGTAGGTGATAAACTATGCATCCATATTTTAAAAAATGACTCATCCTTGTGTTGTTCAGTTCTTTATGATGTGCCCCGCTGACTAATTTCGAGCCGAAAACATGAGCAGCCTTAGCTTATATTCAAATCAAGTCACAAATAATATGTAAACTGTAAAAAGTCATGAGCATAAACGGCAGGATGTTGTGAATAGTGAATATGCAGATACAGAACAGTGGTGTATGCCGAGGGATGGCTGTCGTGTGAATTTGAGCTGGTGATGAAAAGAGACAGGTGGAGGCGATTCAGTGTGTAGGAACAGAGGTCGTAATGAGGAAATCATTTAATCCCAGGATCCTTTAGAGGACAGGCAGTCACCCAGGGCTTCCAGAGAGTCCCAACACAATTCAGTGATTGCAGTTTCAACAACGCACAGGATGGTGCATAGAACGCTGCTACAAATGAATGGCCTGTGTGCGTTTACTCGTAGGATTTCTTCAGGTGAGCACCTGTGCTTTATATTGGTGCAAAATCATTTTTGATTTCAGAGTTGATTCATTTGTGAATGAACACATTCCTTTGATAATTTAATAGTAAATGCAACAATTTGAGCTTATGAAACTTATGACTTCCAGTCTGAATTAGTCAAGACTGCACAATAAACATATTATAATACCAATAACAAATGAAAGGATTTGACCTTGTACAAGGTTGGTGACTGAAACGCAATTTAAGAGATAGATGAGGGTGGAAGAAATGGCAATGGATGTTAATTTGAGCGAATGTAAACATTTTCATCTTTAAAAGTAAAATCTGGGATATGAAAAAAAAATATGTCAGGAATGCAACACTGGCGGCCTCAACACTGTTTATATACAGGGATCATAATAATGTAGAGGAAATATTGTCATTTTTGTTGTCATGGTTGATGAACTTTAATTTAATTTATTTTCATTTAAAATGTCGTCAATAGAAAATCATTCGGATGCAGTCAAACTGCATCAGCTGCCTTAAAACATCCCTGGGTTTTTTTTTTTTACCCTTAAAATTGTTGAATATTTTTATTGTCAAAGTGACATTCAGTGCTTTACGTCTATCTACTGAATATAACCCATAATGAGTGGGGGCCATTGACAGCAACAATAACATGAAAACTTTCTCAGATTTTTAGAAGTCGACCTCTTCTTTAGAAATTACCCATTTGTTTCCTTTGAGGAAACTAGTTTAGAACACATAACTGGCTGACAGCCAAAATCTCAGTATTTGTCATATCATAAGATGGGGTGTGTAGAAATATAATTTCAGGAACTGAATGCATTAGAAACCCATCGATAATGTACCTGCACATGCCATGTGTCATTACAAATAATCCAATAAATACAGAAATTATTGCACAGTAGAAAGGCTCCATGAATTCCCAATGGACTACTCCTCTGTTAGTTGCTGGGAAATGCAGGAAGCGTTTTTAGAACCGCAGACTAACATTTCCCTGTGTTCTTGTTTCTCAGGTGGCAGTTTGTTTTCACAAAAAAAAAAAAAAAAAAATTCACTCCAAAAAATATATAGTCAAGAAAAAGGCTATCCAGCTAAACCCATAATGCAGTGCATTGAAAAGTGGTCTCAAGCTCTGTCCGACTCCTCAAGTTTGACCTCATTGGTCAACAAATGCTCTCCATGCCACTTCTTCATGTGTTTTTCCAGGGTGCTGTACACGCTGAAGGGCATGTGGCAAATATCGCAGCGATACACCTCTTTGCCAAACTGCCCGTGGGTCTTCATGTGACGGGTAAGCTTGCTGCTCTGGGCACAAGCGTAGCTGCACAGGTCACACTTGTAAGGCCTCTCACCTGTGTGGCTGCGCCGATGCACGGTCAGATTGCTGCAGTTCTTGAACACCTTCCCACAGTACTCACAGGTGTCACTCCGCCGACTCTCCTTGGAGCTGGGTGGTCTCCCTGGCCCGGGACCCCGCAGATGGAGGTGAGGTGTACTGCTACCACTTCGCCCTGACATCCCACCACCCTCCAGAATTTCCCCTGGAGGGGTGGAGAAGCGCAGGCTGCCTGTCTCAGATGAAGAGTGCTCGGAAGAAGTGCCGAAAGGCGACTGCCTGGAGTCGGTAAAGCTCAGGAATGGCTCCCTTATGAAGTGGTGGGATGCAGCATAACCGGCAAGCAACTGAGAATACACATTTTCCGGGGATATGACGGGCACCTGCGGATGCTCCATATCCTTCTCCATCTTGATCCTCTTGGCAGAAGACCCAGAGAGGCTGGAGCTGGAAATAGGCACTGGCTTCCGGTGAAACATCGCTGAGATGGAATCCTTCGGGCCGCAGCCTCTGCCATTCACCATGGGCCGCCTATCTCTGTCGATATCCCTGGCTGCCGAAACGGTGTCCATCTCCTGGCATGGCCTGCTGCCCGGTGGCAGTCTCAAGTGATTGTCGAGGTTGTTGTATTGGCTTTCTGTCACTCTGTCAGTGGCCAGAGGCTTCTCCTCTGGGGAGGGTCTTGGGCCATTCTCTCTGTTTCTGCTCAACTCCGAGTCCATGCTCAGGTTGGACTCAGGCCTGCTCCCATTTTGCTGCTCTTCCTCTTCTTCCTCCTCCTCTTCTTCCTCCTCTTCTTCTTCTTCCTCCTCCTCGTTATCCAATCCCTCCCTTGTGCCATTGTCCTCACTGTTTTTCAGCCCCTCCCCAGCTGAGTCTTGCCCTCCCTGCTCAGGTGAACTCCCCATGGAGCCTGACTTGTGCATGTGCGTCTTCATGTGGCGCTTTAGCTTGCTGGCCTGCGAGCATGCGTGGTCACAGAGATGGCACTTGTAGGGTCTTTCGCCAGTGTGGCTACGTCGGTGCACAATCAAGTTGCTTTGGAACTTGAAAGTCTTGCCACAGAACTCACAGGACTTGGCTTTGCCGACCTGATTTAGTGGTGATGAGGAATGGCCTCTGGATGGAACTGATGGTGGCTGTGAGGGTGTGGTTAGAAAAGGTAGAGGTTTGGAGCCAGGCTGGAAGAGAGTGGGGCTGAGAAGCCGATGCATAGGGGGTACACGGTTAGGAGAAAGAGGGGGAGTCGGACCACCGTTGTTGTTGTTGCCCGCCAATTCACGAAGACGGTCAGAGAAGCCCATGGATGGTTCAATGCCCATTGATTGATGGTTCAGCCGCATCACTCGCTCAAAAGCACTTGGATGCTGGGACAGAAGACCCATCTCCTCTGGGCCAAGGCGTTCCAGAGGATGACGGGGTGGCGGAGGGCTTACAAAGGGCGGGGTAGATGGCAAGCGGGTTTCAATGTATCTGGGTGGTGGAGGCTCTCTTAGCAGTGGGGCACCCATACGAAACAGTTGGAAAGGGTTGCTGCCATCACCCAGAAAACTGGCTAGAGGGGAACGGGGCAAGGCATCAGCCCCCAGTGGAGGAGGAAGGGCCATGCGAGGGGTAAGCGAGCAGCTAGTAGGGTGGGTGTCCAGGTAGATGCGTATCCCATGGATGTTCTGCGCATGCTGCAGCAGAAACCATGCACTGGAAAAGGGTTGCTTACAAGTGGTGCAGATGTAACTGGAGGGCTCATCTCTTCCTGGAAGACACAAAACAAGGGGATGTAATTAATATATACATATTAGCTATTAACTCTCTGATCTGGTGCGAGGGGAGGTTGAGATAGCACACTTTAATAGCTTTCCATGTCATTTGCGCATCTGTTTGTTCTCGGTGATGGCTTTAAATGTAATCAAAGCAAAGAGTCCTCTATGGTGAGGTTCATGGATCATTTCTGTTTAAAAATTAAACAGGCAACATGTGAAAGACATTTCATTGCGCTGCGGCGACAGCCATTTTATAAGATTGAATGAAAATTACATCACCCTAAGAGGGGAGACAAGAGCTCTCTGATAGCCTAGCGGGTTATCTACTGTGAGGCAGGGCCGGCTGCTCTCTAAAGCTGTGTCAAAGAGGATCTGCCTGTATGTGACTCACCCAGAATCTGAGTCACACTAGGGGGTTAGTGAGAGCAGGGAAGCTCCCAGAGGGCTGGAGCCTAATGCAGATGGCAGGTATCGCCCACAGGCCACAACGCATTGTGCTAATGCTAATGTCAGCCAGACGTTAATATAGAACTCCCCATTCAAAACCCCGACACCCCCACCTTTCACTATTTCCATATGGAGATAATTCTGTGGCAAGAAAGAGAAAGAGAGGATTAAGGAAGAAAGAGAATGAAATGGAATCGCGTTGATAGGTCCATACATTGACAAAGTCAGGCACATAGTTAGCTACTGACAGTCCCCCATACACTTATATTTTTGTGATATGATATTTTCAGTAAAATGTACTTTGCAAATACATGCCAATGCTCTCATGATGCTTGCTTTCACACTTAAAAAAAAGAATATTAACCATACGAAGACATTCATGTCAGTTTTTGTTTTTTTCATAATATAAAGCAAATCACATTGCATGTTAGTACAGATAGAAGTGTCACCTGAACTCATGCATTGATATAGACCATGTACTATTTTCGCATGTTTAAGAAGCCCAGTGGTTATAAAAAAATTTGATATTTTGGGGATAATATTTTCTTTTGGTGGGGGGGTTAAAATTTGACAATTCAATGGAGTAAAAATAATGGAGTAAATAGTCACCTTCATTTATATAGCGCTTTTAACAATATAGACTGTTTCAAAGCAGCTTTGCAGTGATAATAGGAAATTAAAGTAACAGAGATTGTTTTGATTTTACAGCAGCTCTAGAATAAAGTTATTGTCCAGCTAAAGTTAGTTTTGATCGATTCACTTCAGTTGCAAAGATCATTAGTTATTAACTTGGGGGTCACTTGCATGACACCGTTCTAACAGAAAACCGTTAACGGGCTCCGGCCCGCTCATCTGCGCAACAACAGTGCCTGGTGGCTCGAGAACGCAAACCTTAAAATAGGTTCCTAGGTGCAAGCCTTGAAATTATTATGATTTTTTATCTCTGCGCAAGCTTTAAAAACGCAAACCTGTGAAAACGCTGACGGCGTGCACATGCGTAATTACGTGTTTAGTCTAAATAAACGGTCAAAATCCTGACTGGAAATCCTCGCAGATAGAAATAGATCCAAATAGAGTAAATATGTTGAGAATTGTGAAACATAATATATAATGTAGGTACAAAAAATCATTCTGATCCAAACCGGTTAGCAAAGGAGCCATTGACTTCGATATGCCAACTGATTCAAATTTAAAATATTTTCTCATCCATACTTGCACTTGCTACTAGTTGCTGTTAAAAAAATAAGAGTTCAATTATGTCCCCACAGAACCATATGTATTTATGGTTAAGGTGTGATATTGAGGATTTGTTAAGATCATCATATTTCGTTGAGAGTGGTTCTTTGCCGATATGACTTGAGGTTTGTCCGAAAAACACCTGACTGATGCAGTGGAGAGGAAGACCACATGTAAGTGGTTGTGTATGACATGTCCACAGCCTGTGTTTGAATTGGCTGGCCTTTAAATGGACACCTGGCAAGAGGGATTTTGGACGCTAAGAGAGTAACAGAGAGAGAGAAACTAAAATACACACAGGCTGTTCATTTTCATTTTGAGGCCCTGGACAGGAGCCCAAGCCTGGATAAAATCAACAACGGACATATTCTGCACAAACGCTAGTTCCAAAAAAAGCCTCATTAACATCCCATATTCCTCTGATGGCTGTACAGGACTAAACATAACATGGGATGGACAAAAAGGGTGCAATGGAGCATTTGTTCGTGCACTAATATATGCATTTGTGTGTGTGTGCGCTCGTGTGTGCTTGAGCTTTTGCAATTTGCATCCTATCACATCATACAAAAAACACCATATGTTACTAAGGGACCGTGTCAGCTAACAGACAGGCAGACTTAATGACGACCAAAGACAAATTTCATCAACTTTCCAAACAAGCCAGAACGAGAGAGAGAGAAACCCATAGTGAATAAGTTAGGATATGCTAATGACCCATCAGAGATCCATGTCTTCTGACAGCAGCTTGTGGCATGATGGTGTGAAATTACCCATCAGGCACCTCAGGAACACAAATCTCCATCTGATCATGGTCCATTGGGTCCTACTGTGTATGTGTGCCACACTATGGAGGCCTGGGAGGGCCATGTCACAGCAAAGCGCTCCAGCCAATAAAAGTGCTCATTATAGAATCATCGCTGTTCGCTCTGTGATTCAATTTGCAGTAATTACCGCGGTCCGCGTCCATGAAACCGTTCGCTGCGGGCAGAGGTCAACTGCCAGTTAACAGAGTGTCTTTTCTCCTCTCAATGTATTCAATTGCAAGGGCCTAATAGCCTAATTTTCTTCCCTCTTGCACTTCAATAAATATTGCCGGGATTACAGGTTAAACAGCTAAATTGAGTTGTGGCTGTTATATTACAGAGCTGGCTGTTGGCTTGCATGAAGCTAACAGCTCTGCAGTAGCGTTCTCGTTGTGTTAAACAAGTGCTGGGATGTCTACGTGCATGTCTTTGTGTATGTGTGTGTGTGTGTGTGTATGGGATATGTGATTAATGACAAACGTGTGTGTGTGTGTGTGCGCAGAGGGGCTTTTACACTAAACTTATCCACCCTCTTGGGTTTAGTATTACAAAACCTCACGGCAAATTAGTCCATCCTCAGGGACCTCCAACCTGGGTTTAGATATGTTGATTTCAACATTTTGTGGCAATTAATTTCCTTTTAAGAGCATGAATGCAGTGACAGAGAAGTGAGGAGGAGGGGCTGGAGGGTGTTTTTTAATTATCTGCGGACAAATCTGGCAGACTTGAGAGCACTGCTGTTTCATGAGGGAAACAACATTAGCGTTAGCTACTGCTGTCTCCAGCATTACCCGACCGTGAACCAATCACTTACCGAAGCTGGACTAATGGAATAGTCATGGGATGATGTGCGAATGTGTGAAACTCGTTTGATGTTGCCGTAATGCAATGACATATGTGTGTGGCATAATGTGCAGCTTGTTTGGTAATGTCACAACACAGGGACATATGAGCAAGTGCGAATGCGTGAAACTGTTTTGTTGGTCACATTGCAAGACGTGCATGTGTGAATCGTATTTGATGATGTCACAAGGCAAGGATGTGTGTGTGAGACTCGTTTGATGATGTCACTACGCAAGAGCAATATACGCAAATGCGAGGACAAAACGAGGGCATCTACGTGTGTGCAAATTAGTGCTGTCAAACGATTAAAATATTTAATCGCGATTAATCGCATTAATGTCATAGTTAACTCGCGATTAATCGCACATTTTTATCTATTCTAAAAGTCTCTTGATTCCTTTTTGTCCCATTATTTTTTCTCATTTTAATGCTCTTATCAACATGGAAAAGTGGATCGGCTTGCTTTGTGCAAATGTTTTTTATTGAAAACAACATTGGCATATACTGTGTTCAATTTCACACTAACATTCTCACTTGGAGCAAATAATCTCTCACACAATGTAACACTGTACATCAATAAAAGGGTGAAAGAAATACTGACGAGGTCCTGATATTGACGGGGGGGCGGAGGATTCGCATCAGCTTTGTGTGTGTGTGTGTGTGTGTGTGCTTGGCCATCATCAAGTGGTGTTTCAGACTGGACGCGCTGCGATGATGATAGCTCAGTTCACAACGACAAAACACACAGATCACTTTGGTCTTGTCAATGGAACCATTTGGCAACTTTTTCAAAGTAAACTTTCCATTCAGAATCTTATTGGCGTCCATTTTGGCGTCTCGCGCTCGTCATCCACTCAAAATGTAACGTTAACCAACTATTTGGCCGGCTCGCAAGCCCAAACGAGTGTGTGCGGCGTGCCTGGTGTTTTGTTTCCGGTCTTGCTAGATCCGCTTGCGCTTTGGTCGACGAAGCAACAAAACGTCCTCGCGCGGCGCAAGCCATTGAAATGAATGGGTCTCATAGCGCACCGCATGCCGCGTCCTGTTGCAAAAGCATGTGAAAAAACTACAAAGTTTGCTAGGCCAAAAAGACCGTTAATCGCGCGATAAAAAAATGAACGCCGTTAAAATGGGTTTGCGTTAACGCCGTTAATAACGCGTTTAACTGACAGCCCTAGTGCAAATACATGCAATCCCAGACAGCAACATAGTGTCTGCCCAGAATCCACGTGTGGGCCGGATCTGGGCCGACACTATGTGCCTGTCTGGGATGCGTTTGGTAATGACATTGCGAACTAAGACAAGTGCATGTGCGAATCCGTAAAACGTGTTTGATGATGTTACAATGCAAGGACATATGAGCATGTGCAAATAGCTGGCGTGACAGCAACATAAGGGCATCTATGTGTGTTGTTCAGTTGCATGAAACACATCTAAGTTTTTGCAAATTCATGCAACGTGTTCTGTAATCATATCACAAAGACAAGTGCACGTACGAATGCATGTGACTTGTTTGATGATGTCACAACGTAGAGACAAATGAGCGTGTGCAATTGCGTGAAACTCGTGTGACGGCGCAAATTCTTCTCTGTGTGTGCAAAGACAAGAGCGTGTACGAATGACTCTAGATTAAATCACAATGCAAGGACATACGTGCGCATGTA